CAGAATAGAAAAGAAGAGAAAAGCAGAGCGGTAGAAAAAGAAATGGGTGTAGAAGAAGGAGAAGAAGAAGAAAGGAGTGTAACATTAAAGAATCGATAGATTACGAATTTTACGAGTCATGTCCCTGAAGACGAGCGGCTTTACATAAACACATAGAATGACTTCTAGACCTTGGAACCGACAGTACTGGAGCACGGGTGACATTAAACACGCACACACATATACACGTGCTTAAAAAGAAATTATACATACATAAATTCAATTACATGTAACAGCAACTTAACTAGTAGTCGAGAAGATAAGAATATGAAATAGAAGTATTATAAAGGTATAGAAAATTCGAGACATCACATATTGCTTCTCTTTGAAAAAAAGTAGGTAATTTTGAATGCATTTGATGGTTTCTATAATTCAATTCTTTTATCAATAAGATCTTTATACACATATAATTTATTAAATTAAGTTTATATTCCTATCTTCTTTTGAGTATTACAGTAACAATGACTACGATACACTAAAGAATAAAAATAATAACTTAAAAGTTATTTTTTTTTTTTTTACAGTTTAATAAGGGAGACTATTCAGTTTACAAAATTAAAATTAAAATTCTAGTGTACAGGGGGAATAGTGGTACAGAATTATACAGAAAAAAATAGATTAAATATCGATTAAATACGAACTTACTATTAGATTAGATAAAATAAGATACACATTCGAGAAATATGTTGCTCCAGTACTACGTCGATAGAGAGATATGCCCCAATAATTCCGACACGTTTCGGCTTTACAAGCGTATCGATTGTCAAAATTGAACTATAGCTTTGGATATCGAATTCTATGAATTTTTCCCAGTGACGGATTACACTCAAAAATCTTATTCGAGATATGTTACTAAAAACTCTAGTTTCAGATTATTATATGATAATAAATAAGAAGCACTTCTTATTTATTGTCATATAATAAAATGGTTGAAAAAAACCTATTACTGTACTTTTAATAAAATTTAACAAAATTCAAAATTAATAACGATATAAAGAGAATAAAGTCCGACAACGAAATTCTGGAATATGAGGTACGAGCTTCTCCTCGTCTCGAGATCCCGGCGAATGTCGGGCACGCAATCCGCCACTGTACGTGGGAAAATTTTCGGGGTTCCGACGTACGTTCCAAGGTCGGTAGGAATTCTTGGTGGTGCGCCTTACCAGAGGTGGACGAGGAACAGGGATGGGAGGAGGCCCTCGCTGACGAAGGTGCTGCACCGGAGGGGGGATGTTCTGCTGTGGGAGGCGTAGGTGGTGAGTTTGTCGAGTTTCCACGGATCTCGCCTGCCTGCTTCAGCACCTGGTATATGGCGTCCACGTCTGCCCACACGAGATAAAGAGACACAGCAATGCAAAAGCGCACCGGACGAACTTATTCGGACGGCGATGGTTTTTCGAGTCGCGCGGGCTCAGTCAATTGCTCAATTTTCTCACATTGATCTGTCTTCTTCTTCCCTTTTTTCGTTTGGCGTTGATAAATGATAAGAGATGGCGCGCGATAAACGGATATAGCGGCTTTGGCAACAGCACGAACGAATAATCTTCGCGAATTAAATCGTAGTGCAGAGAGATATATGTATGCTTCAAATGAATCAACAACTTTGAGAAAATCTTAATTTTATGTCTATCACTACTCGATATTTCATGATAAAATCTTGAGAATTAAAAATAAATATGTCGTGCAGAGTTGTAAAGAAAGACAGGACAGATTTTAGTCGACAGTAAAAAATACTACTTTCTGTATCAAATCCAACTTTGTATATCACGGACGAGCATTTTACTCTCTCACTACTTTTTAATATATGTATAACGTTATCACAATCTCAGCAGAATGAATGGAATTGTACAGCGAGTTTCGAGAATATTAAAAAATTCTTAGATTAAGAAGCTACAATCTAATTCATATTCTATCAAATTATTTAATGAATAATTTTCCTGCGCATAAGAAGGTGCTTAATTCATTTTAATGACTTTTATTTCTCGAGTTCTACTGTTCTTCCTTGCGAATCCATTCACTCGTCGCTGGACATAGAACAAGAGAAATTGTGAGGAAAAAAAATCCTCCCGCGTTGGCTGTATATCTCCGGATGAATTTCTAACAATTTTCAACTACGCGTCATGCATAAAGGGGAAACCCGACGTTCTCCCGCGGAAATACAGGGGAAAAAAAAAGAAAGATCCCCGATCCAATCGGCGGGAGATAACGGGCTTATCGGGAAATCGACCGGTTCCCCTCGTGTTCATCGACAAAGCGTCCTCGACAATGAGAGAGCTGTCGCTGATGGCGGGGAGAAAGGGTGGGCAGGAGGGAAAGTAAAACGCGTCTCTGTGATGGATCTCGTCGATCTCTGATTGGTACTCACTGTGCTCGGACGACGCCGGCACCTCGTCGGCGGGCACTTGCGTCTTTTGCCGTCGTAGAAGCGGTATACCGCCGCCCTTCTTCGGCGCCAAGCTCGGGCACAACGCCGGCTGCACCATGTTGATGCAGTCCGTGTGCGCGTTCGCCTTGCAGCCGCGACAACGGACGCCCTGGCGGCTGTGACCGCGCAGCACCTGCCCGCACGCGTCGCACGGCGTGATCTTGCGATACGTGTACTCGCGCCAAGTGTGCCCGCCCTCGGACTCGAGGCTCTTCCTGCGAAAGCAATCTCCCTTGTTCACCGGGTTCCTCGCGGTCTCGCGAAAGTCGGCGTGCTCTCTTGCGATGCGTGCTATTATTACCGTTCGTCATACGTGCTCTTGCGGGAAGAGTGCATTAAATTAAATGGAAAATACACATTTTGTTTTGTCTGGAGAATTAAATTTAAAGAGTAACATCAATATAGCGATGTCGCGCATGATGCGCCTCTTTTCTTTTTATTGAGTAACAAAAGTTTGAGGTCGGAAGACAAGGAAAATCAGAAAACTCTGTTAACAGGGATTTCAATGCGGTCTGTTAGTATGTGAGAATAAATAATAAGACTAAAGCTAACCAGATTATGCGCGATTCGTTGAGAAGATTTGTTATTTGCTAGTGGAAATCTCTCACACTATTCGCGATTCGCAGTATGTCATTCGTAATTCGTCATTTCTTAGTTCGTGGTTACTTTGGCCAGTTTCAGCAACATCTAACAGTATAAATGTTTAGTTACCTGATGAACTGATAGCATGAATTGTAAACGTGTAGTATATAGCGCGACACGAATGGATTGATTCGTGATGACTCGTGTCTTTTGAACTTTGTCAAAAAACCGCTTGACTAGCGAATCAGTGCAAATGGCGAATCGTCGACGAATTTTTCCTCCACATTATTCACGAACGTTATATGAGTCACGAATTGCGCATAGTCTGGCGCTAGTTTAAGAAATAAGAATAAATCTCTCTCACGATTGTTATAAATACACTGAGAAAAAAATGTTCTGGATTTTAGTAAATACTAGCTGGTTACCCGGGCTTCGCCCCGGAGGACATGTGTATTAAGACACGCAAATAGTCTCTCTCTCTCTCTCTCTTTCTCTTTCTCTCTCTCTCTCTTTCCCTCTCCCTCTCCCCCCTCTCTTTCTCTCTCCCTCTTCCTTTGCCTCTATTTCTATCTTTATTTTTCGTTATCTATTTTCTGGAAACCGATTTCTTTAATTGTTTTAATATTTAAAAAATAAAGAATTAAAAAAATCGGTTTCCAGAAAAAGACGTAGTTCTACGTCAAAACTACACACTCTATAGCACTCTCCGAAAAATTCTACCCCTATTTCATATACTTGTGGCAAAAATTCGGTCCAATAGTTTTTAACTTAAAAACTATTGGACCGAATTTGTATTA